AGTCTGATTGTTAAAATGATACAAATACAGAATACAGACAGAATTGATCAATATATCAAGAAAACTCATCTCTGATCAATATTCACAGGAAATAATCAAACTTCCTGCAGTAATTGAGTTCATTGATCAGTTGATCAGCTGTTCTCTGCTGTTATTGATCCTGATCAATATGAAACAAACAGTAAACAGAAGAGGAGAACTCCGTCTGTCGGTGGGTTTTTGGTTCTTTTGTTTAAAGGAAACGTTTGATGATTGCGTAATCGATCAGGAACGAGGCTGTAATGGATACCGAATGATGAAGTCCTGTGGCTCTTCTCCAGATGTTAGGAAACATGTTAGTAACGGAACATCGACGTGATTCAGTGATGCAATGATCCTCATTTCCACAAACTGTGAATCATCTCAGAGTCACGATATCTGTGGATATATAATCCATAATGTGACGAAATGTTTTTACATCATCTTTAAAATCTGAGGTTGATCTGCCAGTTCAGGAGAGTTTCATTAGTCAGAGTTAAACTATGAGGAGGATTTATTGATCAGCTGCAGCTTCATGTGTAAACTTTAATGTTTATCGAACAAACAGGAGGAAATAGTGCTTTTAGGGACTATTTTCTGTGGTGGATGAATCCACATTTGGTGTTCCAGTGAGGAACGAATCTGTAAGACAGTTACCTGTTTAAGCTCAGGTGATCCCATCCACTGTGCGGGGTCTCCTCCTCTCCTCTCTCCTCCTCCTCCTCCTCCTCTCACAGTCTGCTGCTCCTCCGCTCTCTCACACTAATTTTTATTCATTAAGTGGAGTCGGCTGACAACCGTCCCCTCATCCCGCTGGGCTCCAGGCAGCCGGGGGTCAAAGTTCATCCTCGACCTTGAAAACAATCTCACTTCTTCAAAGTTTCTGTGTTTTCGGGGACTCGGAGGACGTTTGTGAAAAAGCTTTTAATGTGAAACATCTGCAGGAAGTGTTTCATTCACAGCAGCTTAACAGTGAATTGATAACGTGGCGCCGAGGAGGAGGGATGGTGAACGTGAGAGCGGCAGAGAAACGACCTTCTACAGTGTTAAAGAGTTTCTGTCCCACATTCAGTCTGAGAGTCCGGTATTATATAAAGTCCATATAAAGCCTGATTATTGATTATTGTCTCTAAGGTCTCTGCAACAGATTCACATTCAGTCTGAACTGAACTTCTTTGTAGTTTTAGGAGTTTAGCTCCGTTAGCTTGTCTGCTAATCAGACGTATGAATAATTGAGCTTTAATGATTAGTTGATTAATCGTTATAGATTATTAAATTAATCTCCAACGGAGAGGGAGGTCCTCTGTAGTGCTGACAGACAATCAGACATTATTATTACTGTAATAAACAGATATGATATGAATGTATTTGTATTTATTGTAGTTTCAGTTTTAATTTATGGTTTAAATGTTTTTTAATGAAGTCTTCACTTCGCTCTTCGTCAGATTTAAATAAATATGTGATAAACTATCTGTTATACATTTTATTATTATCTTCTATTTCTAGAGGCATCATGTAAAACTATTTAAACTGAAACAAACTGTTGAACCTGATTCAAGTTAAATGTTAAACATTCTTTATGAAGCAGCTTCAACCAGAAATTAAAGTGACACTAACAGAATCTCCTGTGTTTTAAATGACTGAATATAATGAAGCTGGCGCCCGTTCAGCTCACCTGGGACTCCAGTACCCAGGAGTCTTTGCTGTCCGTCGTCCCCTCCGTTAAATATTCAGATTAAAGTGAAGATCTGAAGCGTTTAGAATGACGTCATTATACAGCGACGATCTGATTGTTGAACAGTGTGTGTGTGTGAGAGAGTGTGTGTGTGTGTGTGTGTGTGTGTGTGAGAGAGTGTGTGTGTGTGAGTGTGTGTGTGTG